ATGAGGTGAAGAATCGACTTTCGTCAGAAGCTTCCAACGGCTAGTTTCAACGGTCATATTCTTCAAGCCAAACGGGAAGAAAATGCTCAACGGTCAAGTACCCAACATCATCCATAAATAGAAGAGCATTCAAAACAAAAAGAAGAAAGAGTCCAAGCTTACAACATCAAATGCTAAAATGCCGAATCAACATATTCTCATTTAGAGCTCCGAAAGAAAACTCCCTGTCTCTGTGCTCCATAGACGAAAACATATGTATCCGTAAGATAGAGAGGAGAGTTTCCCAAACGTGCTTAAGATTCATCTATCACTTCTTTGAGAGAAGAAATATTCAATCTTCATTATCATTATTAGATTGTATCCTTACGGTGAGTAAGGGGGAGTATTACCTCGGTGTGAGGTTGTTGTTGAATTAGACTGGTTAGTCTAAGAATTGTAAGTGGCGTCACAAGTGCCCGGATCAAACTTGTGATTGTAGTGGTTCTCAAGTACCTGTGTTAAACTTGAGGGAGATAGTCGATTGAAAATCTCAGGGGGAGCCTGGGGACTGGACGTAGGTCAGTGAGGACCGAACCAGGATAAATCACTGTTTGCATCTTCTCTTCCCTTACCTCTTTATATTTCCAGCTAAACCATTTTACTACTGTGACTATACTTATGTCGATACATTGTTTTTATACTCAGAATTTCTCATGAATTTCATTACATTGCGAAAAGGTTTTAATTTTAACTAACACCCAATTCACCCCCCTCTTGGGTGTTCAGCCATTCCAACATAAACAGCACTATTGACAACTATCGAGGCACCCATTAACAACTTTCACAGCCTGTATTGACAACACAATATCCCATTTTGCAGAAAAGGTTTTTACCCACACCAACTTTCATCTTCTTCAGCCTTTTACATTGAACCATGCTAAAATAGAGCAAAACCACTTATAATGTAACCAAAAACAAAGCACCCATCATCATCCTATGCCACCCACAATGAAACCTCAACTTAAATCACCAACCCAAAGGTCCCAATGTAACATTTTAAACCAAAAAAATTTGAAAAAGACAAGAGGAATACATTATCGTAAATGAAGAACATGGATGAGCACAAAGATGCTAACGACAATAGCTTTGTTTCGACCACAAAAAGCTTCAATGATGCCCTATACTAGACGATGTTCAATGATTATGGCAAAGATGAAAAGATTTCAGGTTCCTTGCTTCCGATGAGGATTGATTTAGTGCTAGTTTTTGAGAGGAGAGTGAGATAGTGATGGACAAATACAAATAGGGTTCAAAATTAGATTTCATTTCAACAAGGACAACATAGTCTTTTCACGATTTGTCTTATTGTAACAAAATCCCTTTAGGATCCTAAGCAATTAACAGATTTTCAGAGATCTTTTTGTAGTATTTTCTCTTCTGTGGGACCTTAGAGTCATTTTCCTCAATATTTTTGAAACCGATATTTATAATGACCATTAAATAAAATAAGTAAAATCTAAAATTATTCCCCAAAATGGCATAAGTCTCTAATGAGGTGAGATTTCATCACATCTTTTTAATTAGGTGAGATTTCATTACGTCTTTCTCATATGGCCATTGTTTAATAATGTTAGTTCTTTTTTTTTAAAAAAAATTACACCATATGAATTTAAATGAAGAAAAATAAAAATTTATTTTATTTTAAGACAAGTTAAGGAGAGGGTTGGAGGGAGTATAGGTTAGAAATATGATTAACAAAAGAAGAAGTTAATTGGTAGGGAGAAAAAAATGATTGTAAAGATATATAATTTATTAAATGAAGATTTGATGCAAACCAAAAAAAAAAAAAAAGAATTATATTTTGGTCCTTGGAATTTGGACTCATTTTGATTTTGATCTTCCAATTTCAAACTCAAGGTTTTAGTTCCTAAAATTTAGGTCATCTTAAAATGCTTGTTCTTGAACGTGCAATGATACTAAAATCTGCTAAAATGTCTTAACGATGTTTAAATGATGATGTAAACTAATCAAATGATATATAAATAGATTTTAGGGAAAATTTCACTGTAGGACCGCAGAAGACAATTAATATCAAAGAGCCCCCAAAACTTTCTGAAACCTCACTGCAGGACCAAGGGACCAATTTGATATTAATTTTTAGAGTGAGATTACAATAATACCCCTCCCTTTTTATTTTATTAAAAAATAATATTTACCGGAGTTACTGTTCCGGCCACCGGAGGTCGGAGGTCCGGCCACCGGCACTCAGGTGGCCGCCGTCGGGGTCCGGTCACCGGTGGCCGGAACAGTAACTCCGGCGGGACCTCCGGTGGCCGGAGTTTTTTGTTTAAAACAAAGTGGCCAAGGGAGGGTTTGAACCCAGGACCCCTTGGCACACAAAAGACTTGTAACCACCAAGCCAAGCAACCCATTCAATCATAAAATGCAAATAAAACTACATATAACAAATAAACGCAACAGTCCAAATGTAAGTGAACAAGTGAAATTAGACGATTTACAAGTGGAATTCAGAAATTTGCAACAAAGTTAGGCAATTTACAATAACATAATAGAAGTCATAACCCAAAATGCAAGTGTTTAGTGCAAATGAGCAAGTAAATTTGAAGATTTACAATAAAAGTTTATGGATTTACAACCCAAATTTGGCAAACACAAGAGAATTCACAACCCAAAATGTAAGTGTTTGAGTGTAAGTAAACAAGTGAAATTAGACGATTTACAAGTGGAATTCAGAAATTTACAACAAAAATTAGGCAATTTACAAATAACATAATGGAACTCATAATCCCAATACAAGTGTTTAAGTGTAAATGAGCAAATAAAATTTGAAGATTTACAACAAAAGTTTATAGATTTGCAAGTGAAATTCGACAATTTCACTTGCTCATTTACACTTAAACACTTGCATTTGGGGTTATGACTTCTATTATGTTATTTGTAAATTGCCTAATTTTTTTGTAAATTTCTAAATTCCACTTGTAAATCGTCTAATTTCACTTGTTCACTTACATTCAAACACTTACATTTGGGTTGTGAATTCTCTTGTGTTTACCAAATTTGGGTTGTAAATTCATAAAATTTTATTGTAAATCTTCAAATTTTACTTGCTTATTTGCACTTAAACACTTGCATTTGGGTTATGACTTCTATTATGTTATTTGTAAATTGCCTAATTTTTGTTGTAAATTTCTAAATTCCACTTGTAAATCGTCTAATTTCACTTGTTCACTTACATTCAAACACTTACATTTTGGGTTGTGAATTCTCTTGTGTTTACCAAATTTGGGTTGTAAATTCATAAAATTTTATTGTAAATCTTCAAATTTTACTTGCTTATTTGCACTTAAACACTTGCATTTGGGGTTATGACTTCTATTATGTTATTTGTAAATTGCCTAATTTTTGTTGTAAATTTCTAAATTCCACTTGTAAATCGTCTAATTTCACTTGTTCACTTACACTTAAACATTTACATTTTGAGTTGTGAATTCTCTTGTGTTTACCAAATTTGGGTTGTAAATCCATAAACTTTTATTGTAAATCTTCAAATTTTACTTGCTCATTTGCACCTAAACACTTGCATTTGGGTTATGACTTCTATTATGTTATTTGTAAATTGCCTACTTTTGTTGCAAATTTCTGAATTCCACTTGTAAATCGTCTAATTTCACTTGTTCACTTACATTTGGACTGTTGCGTTTATTTTGTTATATATAGTTTTATTTGCATTTTATGATTGAATGGTTGCTTAGCTTGGTGGTTACAACTCTTTTGGTGTGCCAAGGGGTCCTGGGTTCAAACCCTCCCTTGGCCACTTTTGTTTTAAACAAAAAAACTCCGGTCACCGAGGTCCCGCCGGAGTTACTGTTCCGGCCACCGGTGACCGGACCCCGACGGCGGCCACCTGAGCACCGGTGGCCGGGACCTCCGACCTCCGGTGGCCGGAACAGTAACTCCGGTAAATATTTATTTTTAATAAAATAAAAGGGAGGGGTATTATTGTAATCTCACTCTAAAAATTAATATCAGATTGGTCCCTTGGTCCTGTAGTGAGGTTTCAGAATGTTTTGGGGGCTCTTTGAAATTATTTGCCTTCTGCGGTCCTACAGTGAAATTTCCCCTAGATTTTATGTAGATTAAAAAAAAAAGAAAATAGAGTAGATCTTTAAAATGCAACACAGAGAACAGAGGGGACGGGTTCTCAAAATGCAGTGTAATAAACAACTCCTCAAATGAACAGTAAGGAAAAAAAAGATGCTAAATAACTACATTTTGAGGACTTCTTTTTTTTTTTCCCCTATTATTTACACAAGATCTAGTTAGATGTTATCTGTTCAGTTTACATCACCACTTTAGTATTGTTTACGATACTTCAACAAATTTTAACACTAGCTCCAAAAACTAATAACATTTTAAGACATGCTATAGGGACTAAAATTACGAGTTTGAAATTTGAGTGATTAAAATCAAAATAAACATTTTGGTGACAAAAATTATATTATCGAAAAAATTAATTGACTTTAAGGTTCTAAAACAACGAAAGTTTTTTTTTAATCAAAAAGTTATAAAGCAACAAATTTTTTTGGTAAAATACCACAACACAAGGTGACTTGATTAGGTGAACAATAATATACATTGATATCGATAGAATTACATTCCAGTTTCCACCATCGGCTATATAATCACATGGCGCACAATATACATTGTGGCATCTATAGAAGCAAAGCTCGCCAAAAGTCTCTACAACCACAATGCTTTGCTATGCACAGTTAATCACAGCTTTTGCCGTACTCATCTTCTTCATTTTCCATTACCATCGGAGACGACCCTGCAAAAATCCCTTCTCCACTGATTGGCCTATTCTGGGAATGGTACCGCCCATTCTCAGTAATCTGTGGCAAATCCATGACTGTGTATCTCAAGTTTTGCAGAGTTGTGTATCTCAAGTTTTGCAGAGTCATGGAGGTACTGGGAACTTTGTAGGACCTTGGTTTACACAAATGAACTACGTGGTGACTTGTGACCCCATGAACGTGCATCATATTATGAGCAAGAATTTCGTCAACTACGTAAAGGGGACTGAGTTCCGTGAAATTTTTGAAGCTTTGGGGGATGGGATCTTCAGTGTGGATTCAGACTTGTGGAAATACCACAGGGCTCTTCTCCATTCATTATTCAAATCCGAAAGTTTTAAGAATTTTCTTGCAAAGAGAGTGCAAAAGAAGGTGCTGAGCTGTCTCTTTCCTCTTCTTGATCACATGGAAAAGCAAGGAATTGAAGTGGATTTGCAAGAAGTGTTCAATCGCTTCAATTTTGACATCGTTTGTTCCACAATCTTAGGATGTGACCCCAAAAGCCTCGCTGTTGATTTACCAGAAGTTGCATGTGAAAGAGCTTTTAGTGAAGTGGGGGAATCCATATTCTATAGACACATAGTACCGAAAAGCATTTGGAAGCTTCAAAGATGGCTTGGAATTGGAGCAGAGAAGAAGATGGCTGAAGCATGCAAAGTTTTTTTACCAGTTCCTCCGAGGAAATATAGCATCGATGAAAGAAGAGCCAAGCAAAAAGAATGAAAATAACAAAGAAGAAGAGGATTGCTTGCTAATGGCTTTGATGTGGGAGGAAGGTGGAAAAGAACACATGGATGACAAGTTTCTGAGGGACACTGCCTTTAATCTTTTCGCTGGAGGTAGAGATACGATAACTTCAGCCCTCACATGGTTCTTTTGGCTTACTGCTTCACATCCTTCAGTGGAAGCTAAGATACTTGAAGAGATCAAACAAGAAAAGGAAGCTAACAAACAGTTATATCTTCGTGCTTCTCTTTGTGAAGCTCTGAGATTGTATCCTCCCATATCTCTTGATCGAAAGCAAGCAATCAAATATAACGTACTTCCTAGTGGACATGAGGTTAGTCCAAATCCTATGATTCTGTTATCTTTGTACGCAATGGGGAAACATGAAGCCATATGGGGAAAACATTGCTTGGAATTCAAACCAGAGAGATGGATCTCAGAGAGAGGACACATCATTCACGTTCCATCAAACAAGTTTTTTAGTTTCAATGCAGGACCCAGGACTTGCTTGGGGAAGGACTTGTCCTTCATTCAAATGAAGATAATGGCTAGTTCTATTTTGTGGAATTATGACGTTCATGTAGTGGAAGATCATCCGATTTCTCCAACGTTTTCAATAGCTCTTCGAATGAAGCATGGTCTCAAAGTTCGGATCAGAAGAAGGGGCTGACGATATATTATGATTATCATGTAAGAATTAAATAATGTATTTCAAATCTATGTTTGAAGTAATGATATTGTATATGAAGAAAAGTTGACGTACAATATAATAAAGACCACTAGAGACACTAGCTTGGGGAGAGTTGAACATATGATTTTTTAGCTTAGTGAAAAGAAGCAGACAGAGGTCAAGAAAGTCGTTAAAAATTATTATATTGAACATTATATATTGCTCCCTCCATTTCTTTTTATAAGAAATAAGTGTAGAATATAGTGTGTTTCTTTTTATAAAAGACATTTGGTAGTTATCTCAAATTTTCTTTGTCGATGTCACATTTTATCCCCATTTAATTACTTATACTACTCATATTATCATATTAAACTCCAACTCATTCTCTCTCTTCGACATAAAGAAGGGTATTTTTGGACAAAAGGTTATATTCTTTACATATTTATTGTCTGTTAGATATAATTTGCAACATGTAAATTTTATATACTAATAGGGTCACGTTAATGTCTGTGAATCGCTGATGTCAGCTTTTTGACCTGGGAAAAAAATGAGGTAACTTTTTTCTTTTTCAAAAACAAAACCATTTGAAAGCAGAATCTCAATTCAGGAGTTGAATCTGAAAACTTTTAGAAAAGCTAACTAGTGAAACTTGCTTTCTAATTAATCTATTACCACCTAGAATGATTTCATACCATGAAATCTCATATTAACTACTAATAATACATAAAAATATAACGGCGTTCTTGACTACTTGCAAGTATTGGCTACTTGCAAACATAACATATGTAAAAGTATAATTAATTAAACTATCAAAACAATTCACTAAGTATATATACAAAATACAACAGGCATCCCTACTCTTCAATCAGCTCACTTTCTTCTTCAATAACCTCTTTATCCTTCGAGCTATTAGCCTTCACTGTTTATCATAGACAGGAGGGTGATATTCAAAGAATCCTCATAGTAGTAGTTTTCATCAAACAAATGTGCAGATTACATAAAACATGCAAAACAAGCCAAAGAGGAACATAAACTTGCAGGCTAATGCAATTAAGCATTTATATGTAATGACAGATAAACAAGATGAATAAATAATGCGTAAATAATTTGCAGATAGTTCCCCATGTCTATCAACTACATATATGATCACGGCTAAATAATCTACACAGGGAATAAAAGATTACATGTTCTCATGCTTTAAAATAGCAATACGACACGAGCAAACATGCAACAATCATACACAAGTGTAAGATTGGAAAGAACTACTACCTAGCCCGCTTCTCTCTAAATCAAACCTTACAAATTTCTTCTTCCTTTGCTTTCTTTGTAAGCTTGAGCGGATATCAAAACATATTATATGCATAAGGGTAGATCAATATTTGATCCAACTATGATTCATAAATTAAATAACTCTCTTTAAATTTTAAATTTTCTTTAATCTCTACCCTCACTTAATAGTTGGTCATACTGAAGAATTTTTTTTATTTGAACTATTTACTTTGGAGGGTTTTTTCCCCCTTATTTCAACCTATACATTTACTTTACTTAGTAATTTGTCATCTTGATCAAAAATATTATTTTAGTAGCTATATTTAAGGACTATGTCGCATCCCTAAACCAAGCTAGGTCCACTTCATCAAGTGGTTGGTCGTTATAAAAAAATAAAAAGTAGATACATGTATATACATATAGTAGAGTAACTACAAATGACTCTAAAATTCATAAGCTCACTTTCAGTTTTTTCCCAAATCATCATTGAATTTCCAACATAATTTAAATAGTTATATCCATTGCTAACTTTTCCAGATTAAATTATCCTAACAACGATCTCAAAAACCCAAGTTATTCGCACCTAAAATACATTCCATCATCATGCACCAAGGCTATTCAAGCCTATAGTCCTACTTGAATTCCTTTCTCCTCTTTCCCCTCCATATGCTGCACGCCCAAACTCTCTCTCTCTCTCTATATGTGTGTGTGTGTAATGTCTCTTTGAACCTCAACTTCATTCCCTTTGTATTATCTCTTATGTATAAATCGTTTTATCACCAATGCTATACCAATATTAAAATCAGTTTTAAATATTTTACCTCAACTCTGGGAATTTTCCAGATTTCATTATATTCTACTCTACTTACACCTATAACAAGGCATAAAGACACACACACACAACCACATATATATATATATATACTCATATATCTTAATCATATTCTAACCCCAAACATTTCTCAAATCATCATTGTAATTCCTTCAAACTTAATTTAACATTTATAATAATTTCCCAACATCTAAGACATCAAAACAGTGAGCATTTCTCTCTTATTAATCACGAAACTCACAATATGTTTATAACTTTTAAACATTAATCCTTAGCAAATTAATTAGCACTCAATTCATACAACCCATTGACACTTATGCAACTTAAGATATTTAATGTGGAATTTCTAGATTTAGCTATGCTTCCTAAGTCTATTTTTACATCAACGTATACATATCTATATATATATATATATATATATATATTGCTTCGATTTCCATTAAACCGAAATCAACTATAAACACTCAAGAACAAGAAGATTCAATTCAAACTCATCACCATCAGCTACACCTACTTACTGATTCGGGTGTATACACACACACACACATATCCAATGCTCCATTCTTCTCATTCATAATATTTAAACTTTTCTTCTCTTTTCCAGCATGATTCCCAAAACTCCACAAAAATAGAACAAAAGCTTTTAACTTCAAAATTGTCTCTTCTCCACCGTACCCAACATCTCATAGTAGAATCAATAACCAAATCATAGTCTTCCATTCATTATATTAAAATAAGATGCCTCAAAACCAAAACAGGGAGTCCGAAAGAAAGAAAGAAAAATAAAATCACAGAACAGCAAACCCAAACACAACAGTCAATATGCAACCCGAAGACATACTTATATACTGTATTTCCTTCTTCATTCACACCAAACTCAACGCCATTCTCTTGATTCATTGGACTCCCGATTCGGTCAACACAAAAATGAAATATAATATCACATGTACTTCCAGAAGTCTGACTCTTGATGTTCAAACTCAGAAATTTCCAAGCCTTATATTAGATTGCTTGTCCCCTGTTTCGTAAGTTATGAACAAGAGCAGGAAACTCACATGCAAAGTAATATATATGAATTTCGGACTCCTCTCTCTCATAGCACCATGTAACCCGAGACACATGAACCAAACTCGCACCCCCCTGTTTCACATTCTCACGGTAGAGAGGGAAAAGAAATATGCAAACTCAAAAACCAACATTACACCATCCCTTGTCATCCTTCAACACGACATCATAGCTTAGATTCTCCCTTCCCGCACTTTCTCTTACTATAACCAAGATTCTCTCTCTGGAATCACACCCAAAAACAGCAACCAATAAAGAAGATGAAACGGGGAAGGGACTCATGAGGCTTACCTAGGTCAAAAACCAAGATTGTATGCAAGTTTCAGGCTTCCGATCGGTACTTTCTCCTTCTCTGCTTCTCCACCGTTCTCTCGTCTCTCTCTTCTCTCTCTCTCTCTCTCTCTCCCCCCTCTGGTTTTCGATGCAGAATGAAGAAGAAAGAGGGCGCTGCCAGTTTAATCATACAGGGAGGGATGAAATGACCATTATACCCTTCAACAAACTTCTGTCTTCACTGTCATCCCCCTTTTTTCTTTTTCTGTAATCGTAAAATAAAGCCAAAAATTAACCCACAATTTTATATGGATTTTCCTTATCCAATAGCTTCCTTGACTCCTAAAATAATTTCCATAAAAATTTCTGGTCAAAAATCAATTCCCAACTATTTTTCTTGGATTTTTCAAGAAAATAGCCCTTTATTTTGAGAAATTAATCCCTAACCCATTTTGAGGATTTTATGCATCATTTAGCTTCTTTACTTTATAAATAACTATTCTAAAATTCCCAACTCAAATCCATTTCTCTAATTATTTTTCCTTGAATTTCTAGGAAAAAAAGTCATTTTCTTTCCAAGAATTAACTTTAAAATTATTTAAGCCATTTTTAGGGAAAAGGGCTTTTCCATAAAATTTATAATCCCTAAAAATTAATTTTCTATAATTTTTTCCATTTTCATTTAGGCTTTAAATAATTTTAAATAAATTTTCTCTGTTTTTTTTCTAAGTCAGAAAATTTGGGATGTTACATAATTAGTTTTGATGATACCAAATATTTGAAGTTAAAAGTATTTTCAGAATTAGGGCTTTTTGTAAAAGTTTTTCTTTTGAGTTTTCTCCTGAGTAAATGCCCGAATAACTATGCTTTTTTGTGATTAAACTTGTTTACTTGAGCACCTAATCAAGTGACCTTTTTTTTTTTTTTTCTTTTGGAAAAGTAACTTCTTTGGATATCTCCTCGAGCAATCTTTCCTTTTAAGAGAAATGTGTTCATGAATGTGTGTTCGAATAATGCTTGACTTGAATACATATTCGAGTAAATGTCTTTTATCGTTTGAAAACTTAGACTTTTGCAAACTGATTTCAAACAGCAAAAGTTTTACCTAAACATATACTTGAGTAATCTCCTTTATATCTTGAAGTCTTTAATTTATCTGAGTACCCTCCTGAGTAAAGCAATCTTTGTGTTTCAAAGTTAGTTACCCGAGTACACACTCAAGCTAAAGTATGTTTCTCTTACTTAATGAAAATTGCTTTTCAAAATTATTTACCCAAATACATAATCGAATAATATTGTGCAAAGTTTTTCAAATCTAATTACCTGAGTACATTCCTGAGTAAACCTTGTTTCCAATATTTCTAAGTCTTGCAAAACAAAGAACTTTCTTCTATTTAGTCAAATAGATAACCGAGTAATGGATTACTCGAATATGTATCTGAGAAAGAATCCATAATTAGAGTAAAAAGTTTGCATCAAATATTTATCTCTTACTTTGACTAACTACTATATTTAATGACAATATCTTGTGTAGATTGGTCAAAAAAATAAAGTAGTATCATGTTGAATTTCGACATGTTCGATTAACAGGAAGAAGAATAAATGAGAGAGGTTTACTTGAGTAAGAAGCATACTCTATCATGTCTTTGAGTAAAAGTGTCTGAGAATAAAAGAGTTGAAATTAAGTCATCTATGTTAGGATTAAGGTTTTGATGATAATAAAGTAAGAAATTTGTGTTTCAGTATGTTGATCGATCAAGGACTTATCGATAAGCTTATAGATAATATCTCTGTACAATCAAGTAACTTAGCAGAAACTTTGATTGATAACTTGTTAGATAATGTGTTGATTGATCATTGTTAACTTAGTTGTGTATGAAAGTCTGGAGTAAATTATCGATCACTTGATCGATAATCAGGATTATCGAACATCTGTCGAATAAAGGGATATAAATCTGATAGGCAATTATCGATCACGTGATCGATAAACAGATTATCGATAAGAAGACAGATAAATGGTAATGCGCTCTACTCATTCCGAACATTGCTTCATAACACTCTCTGTGCAAGTACTTATTTCAGCAGCTTATCGATCACCTGATCGATCAGCAAATTATCGATCACATGATCGATCATCGGTACATCACTCTTATTTTATGGTTCTTTGATCACCGGATCGATAATCAGATTATCGATAATATGATCGATTATCGCACTTACATGTCTACCTTGTTTTTCACATAACGTGATCGATAAATCAGTTCTTTGACTTTACAGGATTAAACCACTTTATCGATAACTTGATCGATCACTCATTAATGGATCACCTATTCGATTAACCTATATAGTTTGTGTTTTCATTGAATATACTTTTGCATACTGTTTATCGATAAGTGTATCCATCATCTACTTATCGATAACGTGTTCGAAAATCATTACTTTAAAATCTGTTTTTATAACACCGTGTTTATTGATAACCTGATTGGTCAACAAGTGTTCGATCACTTGTTAGACTCCTTCAACTGATTAATTCCTCAGAAATCCTTCGATACCTCAAAAATGGCAAGAGTGAAGCAGCCGAACGTTGAGTAGGAAGAAAGCACTGAGAAACGATCTCAACCAAGTGACACTACTCCCTCGGGTACTAAGAAGAGGTATAAACTGAAAGTGAGGGAAGAATCATCCAAGAAGAGAGGAGTCCTTAAAATCCGAGAGAGTTGGGCCGAAGAGCAACCCACTCCTCCAAGAAAATCTCCCAGGTCCAAATCCAAGCTACCAGTAGTCACTAAGGAATTAGAAACTGAGTCAAATGAAGGAGCATCAGTTCAGAAAGCTGTGGAGACTGCCTTGAGAGTTCCCATCCCCAGGCAATTGAGACAGAAAAAGCAGAGAGCCAGTGAAGGTGTGTTACGACAGATTCCTACTGAAGGTATTCCATCTGATTTTTCTGAGCTGTTGATTGGAAACCTAGATAAAGATGTGAATTCGGCTAAGTTTAAGGCCGATTTTGCAAATTGAAGATTTTGTCCTGTGATGTATGTGGATATTGAGAGTCTAAAGAAAAATAAACAAATTAGTTTAGACTTGAGTGACCCCCTGGAATACTATTCGAATTGGCTGATGATTGGTAGAGAATATTGTCGTGAAGTAATTAAGAGATTCTACTGTAATATGGAATCAGTAGAAGAATATGATGAGCAGGACAATCTGATAGAAGATTACTTAAGGGTCAAACTTAGAGGTTGAACCTTCCACATTACTAGTGCTAAGTTGAATGAGTGGCTGGGAACCCAAGAATCTATGAGAGGGGGAGATATGAATGATATAAAAGCTCATAAGATTTTGATGTAGAGTGATGACTACCCCGAAGAGCTAAACTTTCCACCTAAGCAGATGTGTGATTATTATAGAATAATCCACTATATCTATTCGAGGAGCATGACCAACAAATCTGGGAGCTTTTCACATTTAACTCAGGATGATTATTTACTGCTGCTAGGATAATCAGTGGTGAAAAGATCAACATAGGGGCCTTGATCTATAATGAAATGAAGGATTTTGTTCTTAACAAATCCAAGTCTACACCAATCCCCTATCCTCAATTGGCCACATACATCCTACAGGCAAATAACATTGTCCCCTTTGAGCTTGGAGAATCCAAGACAAAAGTTCCTACTTTTGGTATCACCCAGCTGAACAAGATGATGATTCCTGTACCCTTCAAACCTTCACAGAAGAAAATTCAGAAAGATAAGGGGGAGCAACCAGCTGCTAGCACTTCTAGAACTCAGGATGAGGCCGAATCCACTGCAGCTCCCTCTCATATCCCTGGACCATCATTTATGGAGAGATCAATCAGGGACATGTTTCAAACTGAACTTCAAGAGTTTGAGAGGAGAGTTTATGCCACTGCTAGAGACTATAGGGAAGTCTCAGACAAAAAATTTGAGGGCATTTCCAAAATCCTAGATCTTCACTGACAAGCAATGATGGTTTTGGAAAAGGAGGTTTCTCAGAGATTCGACCATGTTGACAGAGAAATCCGAGAGCTCAAAGGGATGGTGGCCTCTCTCTGCAACAACTTCTCTACCCCCAGCACTACTTTTAACTTTGAGGACTTACTATCTCATCCACCATCTCCTCCTCACCATGAGCCTGCCCCATCTACCTCTCCCATACCCACTTCTCCTATTTCCACTTCACCATTTGTACCACCTACCTCTCCCACTCCTTTTACCATTTTAGCCCTTATTACTGTTCCCCAGCCAGTCCCTTCTCTACATTTTCCACTATTTTCTCCACTTTTTCACCTTCCACCTCTTCCTATTCCACTGCCCATACCTACTGCTTCTACTCCTTCCCCTTCTTCTTCTGATGCTGACAAAAAGGGAGAGAAGGATTCTGCTGTTTAATTCTGTTGTTTAAGTTTTTTTTTATTATTTAGTTTTTGTTATGTATGTTTCTCACAATTGTTGCTTACTGATATGACAGTTGTGTAATTTTGTTGCTTATCAGTTAAATTTTCTTTTATGCTGCCTTTCTGTCTCATTTTGATATGATTTGATTTGATTTTATTTGATTTTACTATTATCTGATGCTACTTAGTTAATATCCCTCACCTATGTTTTGTCATCATCAAAAAGGGGGAGAATGTTAGGATTAAGATTTTGATGATAACAAAGTAAGAAATTTGTGCTTCAGTATGTTGATCGATCAAGGACTTATCGATAAGCTGATAGATAATATCTCTGTACAATCAAGTAACTTAGCAGAAACTTTGATCGATAACTTGTTAGATAATATGTTGATCGATCAATTGATCGATCATTGTTAACTTAGTTTTGTATGAAAGTCTGAAGTAAATTATCAATCACTTGATCGATAATCAGGATGATCGAACATCTGTCGAATAAAGGGATATAAATCTGATAGGCAATTATCGATCACATGATGGATAAATAGATTATCGATAAGAAGACAGATAAATGGTAATGCGCTCTACTCATTCTATGTTTTGCTTTAGTCACCATTTTTCGATCACCTTATCGATAAGTCATTTATCGATAATATGATCGAACATTGCTTCATAACACTCTCTGTGCAAGTACTTATTTCAGC